GGGGACACGCCCGACTTAAGCCTAGAACTGGGCGGTAGCGTACTGCGCAGCAGGGCAAAGAAGAACAACAGCGACACAAGCATACATTTCTAGAGGTCCGCACGGACCTCTTAGGCCGGCGCTGGACCCTGCGGCTGCACCTCTGGCGCCGCCCCTGTCGCGCTCCGCGCGCCAGTCGGGGGAATTCAGCGCCGATCCAAGAAATCCGCACGGATCTTCGAAGCGCATCGTTTTTTTTTTTTTTTTTTTTTTTTTTTTTTTTTTTTTTTTTTTTTTTTTTTTTTTTTTTTTTTTTTTTTTTTTTTTTTTTTTTTTTTTTTAGTTTTTTTTTGTTTTTTTTCTCATGCAGGGCTGGGCAGCATGAACCTTCACGCGATTAGATACGCAGCGCAAGGCCCGCAGCCGGAACCGCCGATGCGACGCACGGTGCGCGTGCATTCGGATGACGATGCAACGACGACGCGCGCGGACCGTAACGGCCCACCACGACCACCCAGCGCCACAGGGAGTTAGCAGCGACCACCATGCGACCAGCAGACACATAGTGAAGACGACTAGCACCGAGTACACCCAGCAGGCGACAACCAGGTGACCTACGGCCAGGGAGCGACGAACATGCGACGTGACTGCCAGCAGTGGCAACCTGACGAGCTCTCGACCTGCCTGCGAGGAGACGACCACAAGACGGCCTGATGTTTGGCTTCCGATCATCAAGAAGGCAGGCAACCATCAGGCAGCCTGACTGCCAGCAGTGGTCAGGTGATCAGCAGAGACCCTGACTTTAAACCGACACCACTACCCTCAAACGACCTGGCGACAAGGAGGTCAGGAGGTGACCAGACGACCAGAAACCACCAGTAGGCTGTACTGCCGAATGAGCAGCAGACGACCTGATCACTAGACCGAGCGAGCACAGCAGTCCAGAGCTCCAGCCCATCGTTGCCTAGTGACTCCCAGGCGTTCTGGGGGAGGGGAGACCTACCGCCGAAAAAGGGCTTGACCCCAGCTCGCTATTCGGACCAGCCCCGGCCAGAACGAAGCCAATCCTGGCTTCAGAAGGAAGTTATTCTTCACGCTTCGCGTAATTCTTCACGCCGCGCTCTGGCTTGTGTGCCCCCACCACGTGCGGTCGATTCCCTGGTCTCAGGCTTGGGTCTTCCCCGTGGTGCCCTCGCCCGCCTGTCGCCACCTTCGGTGTGCTGACTTCGGGCTCCAGGCCCTGTTCAGGGCTCGTGGTGGGTCATCCTGGCGCCACTTCACGCACTGGTCCGTGGTGACCCGCGCCATTTTGGCTGCGCGGCAGCTTTGCTGCTTCCCGCACTCGTGCGTTCTGCTGCCTCGGGACTATGCTGCTACGGCCACCCTGGGATTTCGCAGCCTGCCAACGCTCTCGCCTCGTCTCGTCTCGGCATTAATTCTTTGACCGACGGTCCTTCGGACCACCCTGGTACTCACGCAGTTGTCCGGGGTTGCGTCCTTGCATTAATTTCGGCTTCTGGCCCGGGTCGTCGTGTGTCCCGACTTCCTGGTGTTTCCGACGCTTTGCATACTTGCACGCTGGCAGTACGACTCAGTTTCAGCTGCCCCCTCACTCGCCGGTCCGCCGCTGAGCTGCTGCGTGAGGGCCCGGTTCGCCGCTGTAGGTGTGGCCACCCTCCGTCGCTTTAGTTTAGCGTGCCCCGCTTTGACTGAACTCGCCGCCGGCGCGCTCGCCCGCGGCCGCTGACTAAAAAGTATCCCCACCAGCCGTCGCCACCGGGATTTCCACGCCACCGGGTTTGGGAGTATCGGTTCTGGCTCTCCTTCTGAGTGGCTGCCCGCTCGCTCGCTTCGCTTGCCTTTCTTTCCCTGCTGCCTAGTCGCGGCCCGACTAGTGTTCGGACGGCTTTCGACCCGCCTCGCGAGCCTGCTGACCAAAAGGTATCACCACCAACCCATTCAGAAACCGTGCCCATGATAGCTGACGGTAAAAGGGAAGAAGAGACACATCTAGGGAAACAAAGCGATCAAACAGGGTGAACCGAGAGATCTCTGGGAGCAAGGGGGTGGTCTTGGAAGGCCTCTTCGGGCCATCCCTGGGGGCCGCGTGGGGGCGAGGGGAAGAGGAGGAGGAGGAGGAGGAGGAGGAGGAGGAGGAGGAGGAGGAGGAGGAGGAGGAGGAGGAGGAGGAGGAGGAGGAGGAGGAGGAGGAGGAGGAGGAGGAGGAGGAGGAGGAGGAGGAGGAGGAGGAGGAGGAGGAGGAGGGGAGGAGGAGGAGGAGGAGGAGGAGGAGGAGGAGGAGGAGGAGGAGGAGCTTGTGGACGAGGAATAGGAGGACGAGGACGCGGATGAGGACGAGAACGAGGATGACGAGGACTAGGATGAGGACGACGCGGACGAGGACTCATGGAATCATCTAGAGGTATTCTTACTGCTGCTGCTGGCGCTGTAGGTGTTGGTGCTCCCTCGGGGTCCTTTTGTTTGGGGCCCTCATGGGGCTCTTTTGGGGCGTCTTAGGGTCCTCATGGGGCCCTCTTGGGGCTCTTTTGGGGCTCTCTTGGCGTTCTTTTGGGGCCTTTTTGGGAGCTATGGAGCGCCTCTTGGGGCCGTCTTGGAGACCATTGATCACAGGATGGGGGGGTCCTCGGTTTGCCCCCCCCTCAGGGGCCATCAAACTCGCCTCTTGGGGCCCTCTTGGGGCTCTCTTGGGGCTCTCTTGGGGCGATGTTGGGCGCTCTTTGGGCCGTCTTGGGGGCCTCTTGGACCCCTCTTGGAGCTTTCTTGGGTCATCTTGGGGCCATGTTGAGGCCTCAAAAGCGCATCGGAAGCGAAAAGGCGAGAGGGCAAACATCATTCATTTTCCGTATGTTTTTGACTGATTTTAGGCTCTTGGAAGGGGTCCTGATGGGGTCTTCAAGAGCACCTGGAACCGTCTTGTGGTCCTCTTGGGGCGTCTTGGAGGCATGTCGGAAGCCGTCTTGAGCCATGTTGGGCTATCTTGAGCGATCTTGGAGGCCATCTTGGGCTCTCTGAGGCCCTCCTGGAGCCATCTTGTGCGAAAAAGGAACCTCTGACACATCGCGGGGCGCCCCGTCCAGGTCCAGTGTATGGGGGTAGGGGGAGGGGTAAACCCCTCCCCGAAGGGGAAGAAGGGATTGTGGAAGTGGTGGGATTTCGGAGCACTTGGGATGTATGCAGCAGCGACAGAGATTGTGTCGATCGCTTCAAAGGGCGCTCATGAGCGCGGTCCTTGCGCCTTCCGAGCTCCAGCGTTTGACGAGCGCTTTGCTGTCGTCCTGCGGCACTTCCCGCTTGAAAACGATTCCGAGAGGCCGAGAGGCTTCTGAGATGTTTCCAGAATGGCTTCGAAGAGGCGTCTGAGAGACTTTGGGCAGCTTCTGAGAGGCTTCCGCGAGGTTCCAGGAGGCGTCCGAGAGACTTATGAGAGGCTTCTGATAGGCTTTTGAGCGGCTCCCAAGGAATTTCCGAGAGGTTCCCGAGAAGCCTCTCAGTGGCTTCCGAAAGGCCTCTGAGAGGCATCTTGGGAACGAGGCTCTTGCGAGGCCCCTGGCATGCCTGCGCGCGGTTTTCGGGCGACGCGGGGAGGCCAGACACAAGCGGCACGCGGGCCGCCGCTGTCGCCTGGCCCGCAGCGATCGGCAGGCCGTGCACCACAGGCCACCAATTGCCCCGAGTCGCTCCTGCGTGTTGCCAGCTCCCCTCCTCCCCGAACCGCCGAGCAGCACGACCCCTCCGCCTCTGCGCAGCCCTCGCGCATCCTTCTCCCCCTCCGCCTCTGCGTGGCCCATCCCGGCTCATCCTTCTCTCCATCCGCCACTGGTACCCGTCATGGAGAGGGGGTGGCAGGAGTCCTGGTCATCTGTATCTTGAGGTTTCCAGTGGCCCATCCTGGCCCATCCTTCTCTCCATCCGCTTCTGGTACCCGTCAGGGAGAGGGGGTGGCAGGAGTCCTGGTCATCTGTATCTTGAGGTTTCCAATCATCCAGCTCTCCCTCCACCGTTCGGAGGGCACCAACAGTACACCTACACCGATCCTGGCCAGGGGCCGATCCTGGGCCCAGGATCAGTGCAGATGCCTCCCTGCCCAGGCCAGGAGGGCGTATACACCGAGCTGGGGCCCAGGAGGAGCCTGCCCAGGCGTGGTGTAGGTGCATACAGTTGGCGCCCTCCTGTCCGTCTTGGGGGAGGAGGAGGAGGATTTTAGGAGGAGGAGGAGGATTTTATGAGGAGGAGGAGGAGGAGGAGGAGGAGGAGGAGGAGGAGGAGGAGGAGGAGGAGGAGGAGGAGGAGGAGGAGGAGGAGGAGGAGGAGGAGGAGGAGGAGGAGGAGGAGGAGGAGAGGAGGAGGAGGAGGAGGAGGAGGAGGAGGAGGAGGAGGAGGAGGAGGAGGAGGGAGGAGGAGAGGAGGAGGAGGAGGAGGGGAGGAGGAGGAGGAGGAGGAGGAGGAGGAGGAGGAGGAGGAGGAGGAGGAGGGGGAGGAGGAGGAGGAGGAGGAGGAGGAGGTTGGAGGAGGAGGAGGAGGAGGAGGAGGAGGTGGAGGAGCAGGAGGAGGAGGAGGAGGAGAGGAGGAGGAGGAGGAGGAGAGGAGGAGGAGGAGGAGGAGGAGGAGGAGGAGGAGGAGGAGGAGGAGGAGGAGGAGGAGGAGGAGGAGGAGGAGGAGAGGAGGAGGAGGAGGAGGAAGGAAAAGGAGAAGGAGGAGGAGGAGGAGGAGGAGGAGGAGGAGGAGGAGGAGGAGGAGGAGGAGGAGCGGAGGAGGCGGAGGCGGAGGAGGAGGAGGGAGGAGGTGGACCTGTCTTGGTCCATCCTTGCCGACCCCTCTGCCCCATCCTTCTCCCCCTCCGCCTCTGCGCCGCCCTCGCGCCCCGGGGCCGGTGTGCACCTGCGCTCGCCGCGTCGGTGGGGAGCCTGGCGGGCTGCGCGGGCGTGCTCTGCCGAGCGAGGAGCAGGAGCGAGAGCGGGAGGAGAAGGAGGGAGCAGCAGCAGGAGGAGGAGGCCCGCGAGGACGAGGCCCGCGAGCTGGGGTTCTCGATCAAGACCGCGAAGGGTGAGGTCGAGGGCCTGGAGGCTGGCCGCCCATGGGTGCCCTGCCGCTGCCGCCCGGGGCCTGCTCCGCCTCGTTGTGGTGGGCCGCTTGGGCGGAACGATCTCGCTGGCGATTCGTGGACACACAGTCGAATTTGATATTGTAGGTCGACCCTGCCAATCAAGGGTGCCCTTGCGTCCTGTGTTCAACGACCCATATTTTCTACATCTTCATTCCTACGGCAATGCGGCCCTCGGAAGGGTCTTGTGTCCTCCCTCGGGGGTGCTGAAACTAGCGCCTCGCCTGATACATCCACATAATCTGCTGTGAAAACGCCGAAGTCCAAGCAACCAAACAGGCAATCCGCTTTGGACATCCCCACAATCTGGGCGCGAACGGGCCCGTGCAGCTGTCCCTGGCGGCTCCCCCTTTGGGGTGCCGAAGCCAGCGCTTCGCTCCCGACGTCCTCAAGATCGTCGAGTCCGAGCCCGTAGCCATTCTGATTCAAAAACATTTTGGCTCGCCGATCACGCGCACCGGCCTGACGCATGGCGGGGGCGCGCGAGAAGCAGCGGCGGCGCGGCGGCCACTCGCCCGACGCGAGCGCGGGCGGGGGGCCGCGGTGGCCGTACGCGGCAGCGCTCGTGGTGGCGGCGGCGTGGGCGGCAGGCTTCTGCCGCTGGGGCAGCAGCGGCTCCGGCGGCTCAGCTGAGACTCTGGCCCGCGGGGGTCTGCATGGTAACCCTCGCATTTTCGCGGACGACGGGGGACCCACCCTCGTCTTGGAGGCCTGGAAATGGGCACCAACATCAACACACGGGCATGCCTCAACAGGGGGAAGGATGATCCTAGAATTCGGTGTCGGTGGCAATACTTAGGTCACCTAGGACGCCGAAATATTACCATCATCACCGAGATCGGGAGCACCTTCCCACGGTGGAGGCACACCGCCGATATTGGTGTTGGTGTCAACCTCTAGGCCTCCCATCGTCGACCCGTCCAGATTGTCCCAGAAGAGGGTGGACAGGTTCTGGCTTCACCCGACGCCGCAGAGCGCCAAGACTGAGCAGCAGTACTTGGCAGCGAAGCGGACGGGCCGCGCCAAGGCCCTGAACGGGACCGAGCGGCGCGAAATGAGCGGGACGTCGCTCCAGGCCCAGCTTTCCTGCATAGGCTCCCGCGACGGCAGGTGGGAGGCGTTCCAGCTCCTGTCGAGCATGGAGCTCGTCCCGCGCTTCTCCAAGGCAGGGTACCAGGTTATGAAAATCCCCGCCGAGGCGTACCGAGCAATGCGCGAGCATGCTGACAAGAGCTTACCATCGGCAGGCCCCGACAAGTACGTCAAATACGGCATTCGAAGCGCCATGGATGGAGTGAGTGGAGCAGATATGTGGATGGAGTCCAATGGGATTATTTTCCGGGAGCCCTACGTCCCCCTCTACACCGTGCAGCCAAAAAGCCAGGTTGAGGACGTAATCAAATTGGTCCAGCCTATCGTAGAGAAATTCGCGGGTGTCCCTCTTGAGATCACGGCGCACCACGGCATAAGATATTATTTGAGGAATAATTGGATGCCGTTCCACACCGACCGGGTGAACACCCATGTCATCGGAGTGAACATGCACATCCACTCTCGCTACGACAATGCCTCTGAGCCGTGGATGTTCGAAATCTGGAACCACGAAACGAATACCATCGACGCCCTCTCGCTCGAGGAGGGGGAGATGGTTGTCTACGAGGCTATCGGCAACATGCACGCCCGGCCCGCCCCGCTGAGGGGCGACTACCACGGATCAGCCTTCTTACACTTTGCGCCTTTGCGTTGGCCGTACGATAGGGGGGACATTCTCGCCCAAGTTCCTCCCGGATGGGATGCCACGAGCCCATGCGATTCTCGAGACAGTTCGCTCGAAACGCAGTGGTTTGCGCTGGGATCCGGTTTTTTGGTGCGAGACACTGGCTCGGGTGCAGGAACACATCCATGATACCATGCTCGCCCTCGCCACCGCGCACAGCATAGTGGACATTACTATTGGAAGGCTCGTGAGCGCGAGACGTTCAACCAAAGATGTACACCATGTTTCGGTTGATGGCCCGTATGTCTTAGTGCACATACGTGAGGCTCCCACTGATGTTAGCGTATTTCCGTTTCGTGTGACGTGTGCGGGAAAACCAGTTGCACCGCGAACTTACATAACATGTTTAATTTCTAGACGCTTTGCGTAACCCCACCAGATGTCCCGACACGCCCTCTGGACTTTTCCTTGCGGGCCGCCGAACAAAAAAAGGTAACCCCACCAGCCCATACAGAAACGATGCCCAGACGAGTTGCCCTGATCAGGAATGTGGAGTATAATCCAGTGGAATAAAGGGTTGGGTGCAATGTCGCACCCCAAGAGGGAGGATGGAGGAGGGATCGGAGAAGGAGCAAGAGGAGGAGGATGATGAGGAGGAGGAAGAAGAGGAGGATGATGAGGAGGAGGAGGAGTAGGAGGAGTCGGGAGAAGGGTTGGGGGAGGAGGGGCGAGGAAGGAGAAAGAACAGGCGGATGAGGAAGAGGCGGATGAGGAGAAGGATGAGGATGAGGATGATGAGGAGGGGGATGAGGATTCGGATGAGGAGGAGTAGGAAGAAGAGGAGGAGGAGGAGGAGGAGGAGAAGGAGGAGGAGGAGGAGGAGGAGAAGGAGGAAGAGGAGGATGAGGATGAGGAGGATGAGGAGGAGGGCGAGCAGAAAGGCCAGAGGCCTCTTGGATGCCTCCCAGAGTCTCTTCGGATTTCTTTCGAGAGGTTCTTGTAGTCATCTTGGGGCATCTTGGGGGTCTCTTGGCAGTCCAGGAGGCCTCTTGGGGCGTCTTGGGTGCTTCTGGGGCGCCTCTTGGAGTATCTTGGGGGTCTCTTGGGAGCCTCTTGGGGGCATCTTGGGGGCCTCTTGGGGGCCTCTTGGGGCCTCCTGGGCACCTCGTGGAGCCCTCTTGGGGCATCCTTGGGAGCCTCGGGGGCCATCTTGGGGCCATCTTGGAGGAGGTCGATCAAAGGAGGGGGGCTCGTTGCTTAGGGTCCCCCTCTCAAGGATGCCGAAATGTAACCAAAACCTCAATCAAATCAGTAATTTTGGGCTTCTCGCCGAAGCCTCTTGGGGCGTCTTGGGTGCCTCTTGGGGCGTCTTGGGGGTCTCTCGCGAGCCTCTTGGGGACATCTTCGGGGCCTCTTGCGGCCCTCTTGGGGCCCTCTTGGGGCACCCTTGCCACCTAGGAGGAGATCGATCAAAGTAGGGGAGGGCCCCAATTAGGGTCCCCCACTACCCAGGAGGCCCAACTGTGGCCCAAACCGTGGTAAAATACATGATTTGGGCTTCCTCGCCGAGGCCATCTTGGACGCTCCAATCCCTCGCGGAACCTCCCGTCGAGGGAAAGGGAGGGGGAGGAGTGAATCTTTCCCCGAACGGGAAGTAGGGGGGTTGAAAGAGGAAGCTCTCTAAACCGCTCACGCTCTAAAGGGCCGGTGGGACTATCCATGGACCCCCTCCGATGACCTGGGCCCCCGAGCTGCGGGCGGTTCCGAGGCCAGACATGCCGCTGGGGGCCTTCTGTCGAAACTGCAGCCAGTCATTTGCAACTTGACGGAGTTGAGGTTGTGGCAGCTTTTCGAGTGGAAGTTTTTGTACCCCGAGTATCATCCGGGTCGCTGCAGATAATCGAGGCTGGCATCGACCCCACAGTTGCATCGACCCTCGCCGTAGCGTTCGCCGCCTAGATGTGGACGAAAGGAGCGTGTTGGAGCCCCCCGAACAAGTTATCTTGGCGAAAGACCCAACCATGTGTAGTTGTGAATACCGTCGTTGTGGGTATCGCCTTGGGGGATCTCTTCATTGGGCCATGAAGCATGCGAAGGGTGTGCTAACATGGGGCGGGGCCGCCATGTGGGCGCTGCCACTGGGGCTTCAGGTGGGACCCACTATGGTGCCGCGAAGCTTGGGAAGGGTGCGCCGCAATGGGGCGGGGTCGCCACTGGGGCCTTCGGTGGAGCGCCCTACTGGGGCCTTCGGTGGAGCTCCCTATGGGGCCACGGAACGCTGTACTGGATGGGGGAACCGCATGCGAGCGCAGCCACTGGGGCTAGGGCCTTCGGTGGAGCTCTGTACTGGGTGGGAGGAACCGCATTGGAACACCGCCTCTGAGGCCTTCGGTGGAGCTCCCTATGGGGCCACGAAGCGCTGTACTGGGTGAAGGCAACCGCATGCGAACACCTCCACTGAAGCCTTCGGTGGAGCTACTTATGGGGCCACAAAGCGCTGTACAGTGTGGGGGTGGCGAATGCGGGCGGTGCCACTTGGGCTTTCGGTGGAGCTCCCTATGGGGCCACGAAACATTGTACTTGGTGGGGGTGACGCATGCGGGCGGTGCCACTGGGGCCTTCGGTGGAGCTCCCTATGGGGCCACGAAGCGCTGTACTGTGTGGGGGTGACGCATGCGGGCGTTGCCACTGGGGCCTTCGGTGGAGTTCCTTGGGGCCACGAAGCGCTGTACTGGGTCGGGGTGACGCATGCGGGCGGTGCCACTGGGGCCTTCGGTGGAGATCCTTCTGGGGCCACGAAACGCTGTTCTGGGTGGGGGTGACGCATGCGGGCGGTGCCACTGAGGCCTTCGGTGGAGCTCCCTATGGGGCCACCAGGCCACCAAACGTTGTACAGGGTGGGGGTGACGCATGCGGGCGGTGCCACTAAGGCCTTCGGTGGAGCTTCCCATGGGGCCACGAAACGCCGTGCTGGGTGGGGGTGGCGCATGCGGGCTGTGCCACTGGGGCCTTCTGTGGAGATCCTTATGGAGCCACGAAGCGCTGTACTGGGTGGGGCAAACGCATGCGGGCGGTGCCACCACCCACGGGAGCCCCAAGAGGACCCCAAGAGGGTTCCACGAGTGGTCTTGAGGCACTACCTGGGGAGGGGGCTCCCACCATGCCCGCAAGACCCTCCGAGAGGCTCCCAAGGACGCTCCCAAGCGGCCCCCAGAAGCTCCAGAGAGGCCCACCCAAGAGGCGCC